CCCCCCCCCCTCTCCTTCATGACACATTTCTGGCTAGGAACTTTGATTGGGTATGGAGTGTATCTTACCTTGCGTCGAGGAACCTTGATCGGAGAATCATAACAGCCTCACAGGTACTCTGTTTGAGCTGCATTTGTATCGATGAGAATTTTTTATGGATTATCTGCACCATCCGTTCTATTTCTTTGGGCGTGATCGGCCTCGTCCGTGATTGTTCTCTCAGTAAGTTCATTACGTGCGTCGTGAATTCGTTACAGGCCTGCAACACATCAAAACCAAACAAAAAATCAGACCAATGATACCAGTAATCATAGTATGTTTATGATAAAAATTAAACAACAAAAAGTGAAACATACTTTTCCAATGCTGGAGGGCGCTTCATCAGGACGAATGAGGGAAAATATGAGAGAACGCTGATAACTTGACCTGGTGCATTTGTACTGATGCAGTGATGCACGGACGCACACAGCGCTAGCATACAGGGTGTCCAAAAAGTCCGTTTTCCCAAAAGTTTCGTTTTTGTATCTCTAACCGTTCAAAAGTTACCAGAGGGGGGGGGGAGGAGGTTACCGACTTTTGGGACACCCTGTATAAAGAGTGGATACCACTATTTTGACGGGTGGGATGTTAATGTTGCATAGCAAATAAAATGCAGGCGCATACGGTTAATGACACGGCTGAGCTACCAAGTCGACTGCTTTCCCAACTTGCCTGAAGGAGGAGGCTTCATCCCAGAAGGCTGGTGGCCCCTCCTCAAGTGTCTACTAAAACACGCTAACCAAAAATCAGTACTTTTACAGTACTTTTTCAGTAAATCCCCAAGCAATTAAGTACCTTCTCGACAGAGAAATCCAGTACTTTTTCGGTACCTCCAATTGACGAATTTCGAAAAATTTCAAAAATTTGAATTTCCCCCTCAAATTGCGACAAAAACGAAAAAATTCTGGATCATTTTGCGGATTTTCCGCACTTTTTCAGTACTCCCAATCGCCCTTAAAAATCAGTACTGTTTCGGGACTTGAAATTTCGGACTTGTAGACAGACATCCAGCTCCCAAAAAAGAAGTGATCCCCAAACACAGACAAATTTCTTCCCAGCCACGCTAATGAGAACCGGGATCATTTCGTGCACTTGCCTGAAATGAAAGTTTGGCATCTCCGACGGTTGTGTATACCTGATCGGGACTGCGCGGTAGACAGTGCTCATCAGACGCTGGCGTTCGTTTGTGCGCTGGTGAGCGTGTGTCCGTGTGTCCCACGCCGAAGCTTTCTTGGCAATCTTATCACCCCCATAAACTCTCGCTCCGTGAAATGGCTCACGGTCTGCCCCTGATAAACGATGTAATTACCCCAACAGTCGGAATACTTGTTTGCTTTCCCCCTTTTGCTCATCCACCTTGTGTGCTTTCATCTTCCCAGTCGATCGCCCTCCCCCAGCCCCCCTCCCCATACACCCCTTGCTTGTCGTTTTTGTTTCGCCACCATTTCGCCTCAGCGTATTTACTTTAGTGTAGTAGTGTCTTCAATTTCACATGCTTACTTATACGGCTTTTGGGGCGTGTTTAAAAAGAGGTGGAGTTTACTCAAATGGATATAGTTAGATGTGATTTACTTATTATTTACTAATTTTTTGTCCAATCTGTAATATTTTTCCTTCAAAACGATATTGGACGGAGATTCGCCCGTTCCCATTGAAACAGTTCATAAAATGGACCGCGCTTAACAGAAAGGAACCAATCCACATCAGCTATGGCTAAATTTAACTGGGTAGTTTAATTTTTTACGCGAGAACGTTTGAGCGGGTTCCTATGAAAATTTTAAGGAATTTGCTTCGTACAATGGAGAAAATTCACTAAAATTTGCACGAAAATCTGCGCAACCGTTTTCATGTTAAAAATTAAATTGCCCGATAAAATTTGGCAATAGCTGATGCGCCTTGGTTCCTTTCTGTTAAACGCGGCTCAAACATGCATCTACATGCCTTGCAATGCCGCTGAGATCGTGAAAATCATTGGTTTGTTTGATTTAGTTTCCCCGGAAAATTTGAAAACTTCAAGAATTCCTTTTCTTCTTCTTCTCTTGCTTTTTTGAGCGAAAAATATCCTGTTGCAACAGGAACTCGATAGACAGCTAAACATTTTCGTGTTCATGGTTACTTTGAGTTACTTTTTTTCCGGTCAGTTCAACCAAAAGGACTTGGTTGACCAAATTGACAAACTTTTGGGTGAAATCGATTGAAACCATGGGATAATCTGAGATATCTGGAGGTGAAAAGAGTGTCCTGCTGACCTAATGTCCTCTTGTTCCTGTGGATTAGAGAGATTAGAAAGCTGCGCCTAGCCAAAGGGCTATAGAAGACAAGTTAAGGGAGGGTACACAGAGTGGTGAAATGCACGCTTGGTGGTCACTGGTCACGCTGAGAAAGCAACCTCTATTACATTTGAAGACCCCCCACAAATGCTCTGCTGCTTCTTACTTTCTCTTGCATTCTTGATGACCTTACGACTAAAATCGAAGAGAAAAAGGAGGAAAATACACGAGGAGGATGAATACCTTCGGGATAGCAGGAAACTTGCATTTCTCAACATTTTGGTGGTGCTTCCTATGAATGAGTCCGCGTTCCGATTCACGGTTGCTACAGAATTTGGAGAATCAAATTCCCTGACATTATCGTGACACATTTTTATGAAATTCACTGAGGGTGGAGATGTTGCGTGTGTGAGGAATTTGCGATTTGACTATTTGTACTTATGTAAAAGCTCGCGAGAAACACGATGGGGCCACTGGTTTTCTCTGAAATCAACTCCCAAGCTCAAAAAAAGCTCTCAAGTTGAGGCCAAAATGTCTTGTGTCTTAATGCACATAGTTCCGTTCGGCAGAAATGTGCCCAAATAAAAAAATGAGACTCATGGNGGGGGGGGGGGGGTTGATAAGTAGGGTGCGACCGTAGAAGTAGTATTCAAACAGCCTGTTCTGATCGCCCGCAGACGACAAGGTTGATCTTCCTGATTAAGTTTTTCTGATCCTGTACGCACAACTACGACCGGATTCTGCGCAAGATTTCAGCGAATTATTGCACTGAGCGGAGAGAACTAACTTGCGGACAAGTCGTAGTTCCTCTGACGTAAGAGCGTATCCTGAGTTCGGCATGAGCCACAGAAATAATGGATTTACATGTAAAACATGGCTCACGTGGAAATGGAGATACATCCTTTAGAGAAGGAACGAAGTTTGAAGCTGCCGGCGCACAGTGGATCGAGTCAATTAGAGAGGTCGGACATGAAATTTTTGATTCAAACTGGAAATTTTTCTGTTAAATTCGTCACATTTTAAACTTGAAGGGGTGCCTTCAGAGGAGAATTTCACGAAAAAACCAATGAAACCACTTTCAGAACCTCAAAGTTTCGTATAAACGGAGTTATAAGCGTTTAAAGTTTCCAAGTTTTGTCCGACCTCTCCTATTGACTCGATCCAGTGTGCGGCGGCGCTTATCGGGCGAAAGATCCTGGAATCTTACTCGTTGAGTTTCCGAACGGGTGAGAACGAATCGTGGCAAAAGGCCAATTTTCGTACAAAAATGTAGACTCGGTGCGAACGGCCGACGCAGAGTGGATCGAGTCAATCAGAAAGGTCGGACATGAAATTTTTGACTGAAACCGCAAATTTCGATTTTTATTTCGTCACAATTTACGATTCAAGGAATGTTTAAGTGGAAAATTTCACGAGAAAACCAACGGAAGCACCTTTAAAACCGCGAAATTTCGTTTAAACGGAGTTATAAGCGCTTAAAGTTTCCAAATTTTGTCCGGCCTCTCCTATTGACTCGATCCACTGTGCGGCCGAGTCCTGGGACGGGCAACAGTTGACGTTGGAAGTGACATCTTGGCAGGTGCGGTTCCTGATGATAGTCGTGCATCGTCGCTCAACATTGGTCAACTATTCGTCGTCTCCGTCACGAAAGAACGCAACTACACGTCAATGCTGCCAAATTTCCACTCGTAAATTGCATTCTCACCGGAAGAATCTCGACTGGAATGCCACAATAGTTAGAAAACGAAATTCCCTGACAAATCCCGGATTTCCCCGACACATTTGAGTAGAATCCCTTGATACATGAAATGTGCACTAGGTATGGCAAAAAAACACACTGGAGAATTTGCATGCACAGCTTTTACTGATTCATCTGAAAGTGCTTAAAGAGCCGATTTCACAGTATTTTTTATAATTGTTTAGAAATGGGAAATAGTACGAAAATAGACTTTAAAGTGAGAAAATGCACCATTGCATCGCTTAGTGACGTCATCTGGCGGCTTTTCCCATTTACACACATTTTTTGGGGAAAAATTGGTTGTTCTAAACGTCAAATACATTCTGAAAAGCTTATAGAGGTAAAACAATTTTCCCCTGACACTTTCGTCATTTTCCCTGACTATTTAAAAGTCCCTGACATTTTGCGGTTTTCACTGACCGTGGCAACCCTGTCTTGAACATTTCCAATTGAAAATTTCATTGATTTTTCCTCGGATGGAGGGGAAAAATTCGAAACACTGTGGACGAAAATGGTACACGTCTCTGGTGACGGGAGGATACCTACCAAGGTCCGTGACTTGCAAAGGCGGATCCAACATGTGGCAACACTGGATTTCCTCCATTTAAAGTTATGGAAATGTATCGATTCTTGGAGAAGGCAATTGCTTCGAGAAGAATCGATTGTTTTGCATAGGTTTAAATGAAGGAATTAGGTGTTGCCAAATTGCTGGATCCGCCTCTGGTGACTTGTAGAAATCTAAATCCGGGCCGCGGTTAGCTGAGCCCGGAGTCCGCGAGATGGCGCTGCGGCAGATACCCGGGCAAGGACTCGAGGAGTGGAGCCGGCCGAGATGAGGTGCGGTCATAAATTGAAATAGGAGCAGATAATCTCGCGCGCGAGTCATAAATCCCGGGCCGCGCCATGCCGAAGCGGTGGCGCACTCGTCCGGAGACGCTCCGCCGTGTTCCGTGCAATTCGCACGTTCGGTTACAGCACGAGCGACACACATCCGTCTATCAGCGATACCCCCTCGCCACGGGGCCTGAAATTACTGCGTTGTCCTAACCACTGCAGTGTTAGAAAACGTGGAATGAGAATCGGTGCCGGAGTCTGCATATCGCCCAAAAAATATGAAAGCCAACTGCGAAGTGGAATTAGCACTAGAGTCCCTTTATACTGAGAGTCAAGACAATGCGAATCCATTTCTGATTGGTTAACCGGATTTTAGGC